TTTTTTTTTTTTTTTTTTTTTTTTTTTTTGAGACGGAGTTTCGCTCTCGTTACCCAGGCTGGAGTGCAATGGCCTGATCTCGGCTCACCGCAACTTCCACCTCCTGGGTTCAGGCAATTCTCCTGCCTCAACCTCCTCAGTAGCTGGGATTACAGGCACGCGCCACCATGCCCAGCTAATTTTTTGTATTTTTAGTAGAGACGGGGTTTCACCATGTTGACCAGGATGGTCTCGATCTCTTGACCTCATGATCCACCCGCCTCGGCCTCCCAAAGTGCTGGGATTACAGGCTTCAGCCACCGCGCCCGGCGATGTTGAACATCTTTTCATGTGTTTATTTGCTATTTCAGATCCCATTTGGTGAAATTTCTGCTCGAGTTTTTGCTTACTTTTCAACTGGGTTGTTTACAGTTTTACTGCTGAGTTTTGGGAGTTTTAAAAATATATATATTCTGGCCGGGTGCCGTGGCTCACACCTGTAATCCCAGCACTTTGGAATGCTGAGGCGGGTGGATCACCTGAGGTCAGGAGTTCAAGACCAACCTGGCCATCATGGTGAAACCCCATCTTTATTTAAAAAAAAAAAAAAATTTACACACACACACACACACACACACATATATATATATATATATGTGTTCATATTCTAGGCTGGGCATGGTGGCTCATGCCTATAATCCCAGCACTTTGAGAGGCTGAGGTGGAGGGATCACTTGAGGTCAGGAGTTCAAAACCATCCTGGCCAACATGGTGAAACCACATCTCTACTAAAAACAAAAATTAGCCAGGCATTGTGGCACATGTATATAATCCCAGCTACTTAGGAGGCTGAGGCAGGAAAATCACTTGAACCAGGGATAAAGGTTGCAGTGAGCTGAGATGGAGCCACTGTACTCCAAACTGGGCAATGGAGAAAGACCTTGTCTTGGAAAAAAAAATTCTGGGGTGGGCACAGTTACTCACAACTGTAATCCCAGCAATTCGGGAGACTAAGGCAGGAGGATCACTTGAGATCAGGAGTTCAAGACCAGCCTGGGCAACATGGTGAAACCCTGTCTCTACAAAAAAAAAAAAAAAAGAAAAAAAGAAAAATGAGTGGGGCATGGTAGCACACACCTGTAGTCCCAGCTACTAGGGAGGCTAAGGTGGAAGGATCAGCTGAGCCTCGGGAGGTTGGGGCTGCAGTGAGCTATTTGCTAGTATTTTCTCCCAGTCTATAGTTTGTCTTTTCATTCTCTTTTATTTTTAAACGAATCTATGACAAACACATCTTTTCATTCTCTTTACAGTGTCTTTTGCAGAGCAAAATTTTTAATTTTGATGAAGTCCAAATTACACATTTTTTTTTTTTCACGGATGCATTGTGTTTCTGTGCCACATTTTTTTGTTTTGTTTTGTTGTTTTGTTTGCTTATTTGTTTGTTTTGTATCCGTGTCACATTTAAGAACTCTTTGCCTAACCCCTGGTCACAGACCTTTTTTCCATTTTCTTCTCAATGCTTTAACAGTTTTATAGTTTACATTTATATCTTTGATCAATTTTTTTCTTTTTTGAGGCAGTCTCGTTTGTCGCCCAGGCTGGTGTGCAGTTACAGCTCACTGAAACCCCACACATCCTGGCCTCAAGTGATCCTCCTGCATCAGCCTCCCAAAGTTCTGGGATTACAGGTGTGAGCCACCACGCCCAGCCTATGATCAATTTTTAATGAATTTTTGTATATGGTGTGAGGTTTATGTTGAAGTTCTCTTTCTTTTGCACTTTTGATAAACGTAGATTAGCCATGCTTGTGTGGATCTGTTTCTGGGTTCTCTTTCCTGATCCATTGATCTGTGTCTGTCCTTTCAGCAGTGCTACACTGTCTTGCTTATAGTAGCTTTGTAGTAAGTTGTAAAACTGGGCGAAGTGGTTCCTCCAATCTTAGTTTTCTTTTTCAACATTGTTTTAGCTCTTCCAGTTTCTTGGCTCTTCTATACAAATTTTGGAATTTGTTTATCAATATCTACAAAAAGTTGTTCTGGAATTTTGATTGGAATTGCATTACATTTGTAAATCTCTAAACTGATTGGTTTGAGGAGGGTTGACATCTTTGCTATGTTGTCTTCCAATCCATGAATATAGTATATCTCTCCATTTATTTACCTCTTTGTTTTCATCAGTGTTTTGAAATTTTGAGGACCCCTTATTTACATTTTGCCTGGAGAGCAAACTAATAGACTTCTGCTGAGCCACTGGGAGGATACCTAGGGATCTGATTGCTTCTTAAGGAACTTGCACCCAGTCCTCCCTGCCCCAGCCTTTCCATTTTACTGCCAGTTCCAGAGAGACTAGGTTTGCCATTCCCAAGTCTTTCAGGGGTTTTGCAGAGAAAATCTGGTTGGTTCTTAGCGTCTCCATTGTGTGTTTGGTATTTGGCTTTCTCAACTGTGACAAGCCTGTTACAAATAAATAGAAATACAATAGGTTTACCTAGATGATATTCTTTATTTCCTTAAACCTATCAAAGATCCTTATTTTATATATCTGATCATTCTAATATCTTATGCCTTGGTGCATCTGATTTCACTAGTAGTGCCTTTGTCTTTAGGTGTTTTGTGATTTTTACCATGATCTAATGTTCAATGGAACTTTCTTGATGGGAATTCTTTGAGGCCTAGGTTGAAAGTGAGTATCTCAAGGTATTCTGTAATTTTTGCCCACTGCTCTGGGAGCTCTGCCAATCCAGGATTATTTTAGAATAAATTCTCAGCTTCAGTGTAAAATAAATAGTACCTTTAGATAAAAATTCAGACCACAGACTTGTGTAAGGCTTAGTTTGTGATAATAAAACCTCAGCACCAAGGTCAAAACATGCAAATGTCCCTGCTCTGTGCCTCAGCACAGCTTGGCTCTTCCTTTCCATCTGGTTCTCTGTGCTCTCTCAGGCTCTCTCCTGCCCAGGGTGTCAGTTTTCAGCTTGGCACCTGTGGCTCTGCTAAAAGGGTCTATGCTGACCTCCACATGTATATTTGGAAAACGGGGATTTCCTATCTAAAAATCACTTCTCTGTACCTTTTCTGTGCCAGCCTTGGAATAGGAACTAGAAGTACAGATGTGAAAAAAGACACATGGCCTGTCTTCATGGCACTTACATTTTGGAAGGAAAAATAATGAACAATCCTTTTTGAGTCCTTGTTTGATGCCAGTTGCCAGCCTGGTACATTCACATGAGTGATGTCTGCAGCCCTGGTAATGGCCTTGCACAGTAAGCTTTCTCATGGATATTTTGTGGATGAGAAAACTCGGGCTCCAGGGGCAGATAGTAAGCCTGGCACTGGGGTTTGAGCTCCTCATGCTGGGGCTGAGTGACTGTCCTTGTGGCCAGGTGACCTACTGTGGCTCTGCTCTCTTGTAGAGGCTGTGCATGCCCGTGTACTGCAAGTACCAGTTCCATAAGACTCCAGTTCACAAGACCAAGGGGGAGCCCCATGGAACCCACATTCATTTCCAGGACATCAATGTCATCTTCCTTGGGGCGCTGCACCCCAGTGACCTAAGGGAATACCTGGAGGGCCCCCCCATGGTGGTGGAAGTTCACGACCGGGACCGCAAGTCAGAGGAGTGTTCTCGGAAGCCTGTGCTGTTTGGGGAGGATCCCCTGGATTCATACCTCAACTTTCAGGCCCTCATCTCTCCCAGAGAGACAGAGAACAACCCCTTTGAGTCCCAGAACAAGATGTGGCACCCTTATGGGATCGCCCGGGTCAGTTTTGCTGACCTCCTCCTTGGCCACAAGTACTTGAACCTGGCCGTCCCCATCCACAGCTGTGAGGTTCAGCCCACACATTGCAGCCAGAACAGTGGGAGGAGGAAGGTTGTGGGGCTTGGGGTCCCAAGAGATGGCCGCCAGCACAGCCCAATGCCCATGGGCAACTACCTCGAGGCTAACTCCCAGCTCAAGCTGCGAGTGGACATCGCGGTGCCACTGAGGGCTGAGGCCAGAGCCGCAGATCCCGACCTCGGGGACTCCCAGTTTGGTCGCATCATCTTCATCTTCGACTTCAAGAAGGTCTCCCTGCTGCACAGCCTGCTGCAGGACATCACCATGATCAATGCCAAGGCCCTCAGCCTGGACTCCTACCCGATCAGGACCCTGCAGCAGATCCTGTCAGCCTTCAAGATGCGTGTGCGGGTCCAGGAGCAGCAGCACCTGAATGTGCTCACCGGCTTCCATCTGCTGGATGGGAAGACTCACCTTTTTGTCCTGGAAGGCCTGGCCGACCAAGGCTTGAGGCAGCTGTGGGAGAGCCACCAAAGCTGGTAGGTGGTTTGTTTTGCATTTTGCATAAAAATGATGGCATCTGGACGCTGAGGAAGTGGAGAGGTTTTTCAGAGCCAAGGCCTAGGTTCAACATCCTTATCTGTGAGTCTCCTTTTGGGGTTCATTGTGAGGTACTTACCAGGGTTTAGTCATTGGACTTGAAGACTGAATTGCCTTTAGTTGCAGGGAGGAATTCAGGAGTGTCTAAGATGACTGAGGGGTCCAGGAGAGTGGGGCTGTCTTCAGGGTTCTGAGCCAAGGGCCACTGTGGCTAACCAGGAGCAGAATATTCTGTATTAGATTTCAGCTTGGCCCAGGGAAGATCATTCTGAAGATGGAGGGGCTGCCTAGGCTGCGGGAAGTTGCCCTTCTCTGAAGGCCTTCAGGGCACCTGTGGGCCACTCAGTGGGGACACTAGAGGCGAGTAAAGTGTCCAATTCTGGGCTGCAGCAGGTGGCCCCTTGCCAACATGGTGAAACCCTGTCTCTAGTAAATATACAAAAATTAGCCAGGTGTGGTGGCACATGCTTGTAATCTCAGCTACTTGGGAGGCTGAGGCAGGAGAATCACCTGAATCCGGGAGGCAGATTGCAGTAAGCCAAGATCATGCCACTGCGCTCCAGTCTGGACAACAGAGTGAGACTCTGCCTAAAAATAAATAAAAATCTGTAGGGTGATATTAGAGCATTAGTCAGAGGAAAATTTATAGCCTTAAATGCTTATATTGGAAATGAAAAATGCCTGAAAATTACTGAGACATAACTATAGTTGTTGCATTGATATGTATTTCAAATTATACCAATATATTGAAAAATTTATAAGAAATTTAAAAAATATGTTCAGATAATTTAATGTGGTATTGAATACAAAAATTAGTATAAAAATCTGTCAAATTTCTGAATACCATCTACACACAAAAACTAATTTAAAAAATTGGAACACATTTAAAGTAAAATATATGAAAGTCATAGGACTAAATTTGGCAAAAAGATGTGAAAGATGTCCATCACGAATATTACAGAACTTCAAGAAACATTAAGGAAATCATAAATAAGTGGGGCGAGATATCATGTTCATGAATTTGAAGACTCTATATTTTTTTAGACAGAGATTTGCTGTGTCACCCAGGCTGGAGTGCAATGGCACAATCTCGGCCCACTGCAACCTCCGCCTCCCAGGTTCAAGCGATTCTCCTGCCTCAGCCTCCTGAGTAGCTGGGACTACAGATGCGTGCCACCATACCTGGCTAATTTTTTTTTTTAATTTTTGTATTTTTAGCGGAAATGGGGTTTCACCATATTGGCCAGGCTGGTCTCAAACTCTTGACCTTGTGATCTGCCCACCTTGGCCTCCCAAAGTGCTAGGATTACAGGCGTTAGCCACTGTGCCTGTCCTGAAGACTCAATATTCTAAAGGCTCAACTTATCTTCAAATTTGAACTATAGATTCAGAGCAATTCCGGTTTTAAAAATTCCAGCAGCTTTTAAAGTATAGACCTTGATTTTAAAATTTCAAAGACTTTTTGCATGTTAAGATTCACACTCTTTTTTTTTTTTTTTAAAAAGTCCATTCTTTAAAATCTGTTGGGATTTTAAACCCTTTGCAGCAGCATGCAAAGGTCTTTTAAAAAAGATACCCTTGGCTGGGCGCGATGGCTCATGCCTGTAATCCCAGCACTTTGGGAGGCCTAGGCGGGTGGATCATAAGGTCAGGAGATCGAGACCATCCTGGCCCACATGGTGAAACCCATCTCTACTAAAAATACAAAAATTAGCCACACACGGTGGCAGGCACCTGTAGTCCTGGCTACTCAGGAGGCTGAGGCAGGAGAACTATTTGAACCTGGGAGGCAGAGGTTGCAATGAGCAGAGATTGCGCCACCTTTCCCCCCCCCGGGCAAAAAAACAAAACCCTTTCCCAAAAAAAAAAAAAAAAAAAAAAATACCCTTGAATAAGAAAAAGAAGAATTTGCTGTACTAGATATCAAGACTCATGATGAAACGAAGGGTCATTAAGATAGTGCGGTATTGGTTCAGAGATAGACAAGCAGACCTATGGAATATAATAGAGAATCCAGAAACAGATCTACACACAGGTGTTCATTTGACATATGACATATGTGATATTGCAAAATCAGCGAGGAATAAATATACTAAAAACCACTGAATTTTCTCCTTCAAAAGGATGAATCTTACACAATGAGATGCTATCTCATACTCATTAGGATGGATAGAATACAAAAGTCCAATGACAAACATTGGCAAGGATGTGGAGAAATCAGAAGTGTCCTCCTCTGCTGGGAGGAATATAGGTGCAGCCACTTTGGAAAACACTCTGGCAGTTCCTCAAATGATTAAACACAGAGTTCCCATATGACCCAGGAATCCCACTCCTAGATCTGTGTCCAAGAAAATGAAAACATGTATCCACACTAATGTGTGGATTATTGCTAAATTAGTGTACTAAACTTGCACACTCATGTTTATAACAGCATTATTCATAATAGCCAAAAGGTGGAAACAGCCCAAATGTCCATCAAGTGGTGAAGGGCTAAGCAGATGATAGGATGTGCATACACTCGGGTCCTATTTGGACATAAAAAGGAATGGAACACTGACCCATGCTACACTGGAGATGAGCCTTGAAAACATGCTGAGGAGAGGCAGCCGGCCACAAGATGCCACATATGACATGCTTCCATTTATATGAAATGTCCAGAAGAGGCCAATCTATAGGGACAGAAAGCAGTTTAGTACAGTGGTCCCCAATCCCTGGGCCGTGAACGTGTTTGGGTCTGTGGCCTGTAGGAACCGGGCAGCACAGCAGGAGGTCAGTGAGCTCTGCCTGAGCTCTGCCTCCTGTCACATCAGCAGCAGCATTAGGTTCTCATAGGAGTGAGAATCCTCTTGTGAACTGTGCACGTGAGGGACCTAGGTTACGCGTTCCTTATGAGGAGTCTTCCCACCTCAACCTCCCAAAGTGAAAAATCTATTTTTGAAAAGCAAAATTACAAAGCTTATAGATGAAAATATAGAAGAACATATTCATGACCCCAGAAGGGAGAAAGAGTTCTTGAACAAGACAAGGACAAAGAAGGAAAGAATCATACATTTGGCAAAGTTAAAAGTAACTTCTGTTCATCAAAAGACACTATCAGAGCCAGATAAAATAGATGAATCTCTAAATTTAAAATTTTATTTGGGAAGCAAGAATTACAATTTGAGGTACACAGACTGGGCAGTCTTCAGCATGTCTGAGAAACGGAAGGTTGGAGGTTTTGTAAAAAGGAGGGGCATTACACAAATGTCAGCTATTGTTTTGAGAGTTCACTGGTACCACAAAGTTTTGGGGTGCTGGCAACCTCTGGTGAGTTCCAGTGAGTGGAAGTAGTCTTAGAGTCGCGGCAGGTGGTGTCAGTAGCTATCAGATAAGACTGGCTGCCGGGTGGTAGCTCACACTTGTAATCCTAGCACTTTGGGAGGCCGAGGTGGGTGGATCACTCAGGAGTTTGAGACCAGCCTGAGCAGTCTCAAAAAAAGACTGGCTTCAGGTGGCAGCAGGCGGCCTCAGCAGCCATGCTGCGGAGAATGGCCTTCCGGGAGCAGTGCCGTGTGTCCTGGGTGCTTTCCCCTGCCTCCCCACTCTGTTTTAGTTGGGTGTGATGAGAATGACCAAAGGTATGTGATCAACTTCTGCAACACCACAAAAATCATGCAAAGACAAGCCACTATCAAACAAAATTATTTGCAAGGTCTGGAACTGACCAATAATTAGTATCCTAAATATATTTTTTAAAGTCCTGTGAATCAATAAGAAAACATCCTAGTGGAAAGTGTGGGCAAAATACTTCACAGAAGAGAACCTACCTCTGACCAAGCACAGATTCCCAAAGGGGCGATGAAGGCATTGTAGACTTCACCAGGTTCAAAAAGGTGAAGGAACAGCAGAGGCCAGCGCAGGGCAACGAGAGCAGGCAGTGCATAGAAACCCTGCCAGGCTGGCATTGCCACAGTGCAGAGCATGAGTGCCAGGGCAGGGCTTGGAGGGGTGCTGAGGGGCTGAGTGAGGGCAGAAAGCGGGTGGGAGGCGCAGGCCAGATCAGGTCAGTTTCAGCATTTCACTGCCAGCTCTCTGTCAAGGCCCCAGGTTTTGAAGGATGTTGTGTCTACCAGGGGGTAGTCATCATCAACACATTCCTTTTGTTTTTGTTTTTGTTTTTCTATTTTTTTAGTTAATTTTTTATACTTTTAAGTTTCTATTATTTTTATCTTAGAATAGTCTTCATTACCAACCTGCTCTTTTGAGACAGGGGCTCACTCTGTTGCCAGGCTGGAGTGCAGTGGTGCCATCAGGGCTCACTGCAGCCTCCACCTCCCTGGGCTTGTTTTAAACCACATAAAAGCTGTACACGACAGATCACCCCCACCACAGTGTCCCAGGAAGTCGGCACACAAGTTAACTCTGGCCCTTGGCCTTCTGTCTCTTGCAGGACTTCCAGGTCAGAACACAGGAAATACAAGGTGCTGTACAACTCACAGCTGCTGTTCCGCAGCCGGCTCTATGGGGACCTGGAGACCATCCTGTACCATGTGCACCTCTTCCAGCCCACGGAGCTGCTGCTGCAGCAGGCGGTGCTCTTCCTGCGAGACATGAAGTGGAGGCGGGTCTTCCAGGCACTGGCCAGGTGGGCGTGGCAGCCAGCACGGGGTCCTGCGCCCAGCGGGAGGGACACTTCTTAGCACTCTGTGCCCAAACAAGTGAGCTGGGGCATCCAGCAACTAGACAGTGGCCCCAACAGACGGTGGGGGGAGGGGACCGCTTGCCCAGATGCTGAGACTGTCGTGTCTCCTGCTCTTGGGGCATGTCCTAGAATCAATCGCCTAAGGAAGGAGTGGCTGGTTAAGACCCATTTTCTATTTCTGATCTTTCTTGGAAAAAGAAAAAAAAGAAGAAAAAAGACCCATTTTCTAACCTGGGCAACAGAGTGAGACCTCATCTCCACAGAAATTTTTTAAGAATTAGCCAGGTGTGGGCCAGGCACGGTAGCTCATACCTGTAATCCCAGCACTTTGGGAGCCTGAGGTGGGAGGATGGCCTAAGCCCAGGAGTTTGAAACCAGCCTGGGCAACCCAGTGAGACCCCATCTCTACTAAAAATACAAAAATTAGCTGGGCGTGGTGGCGTGTGCCTGTGGTCTCGGCTACTGAGGAGGCTGAGGTGGGAGGATTGAGGTCAAGGCAGAGGTTCCAGTGAGCCAAGATTGCACCACTGCACTCCAGCCTGGGCAAGAGAGCAAGACTCAGTCTCAAAACTAAAGGTCTGGCATGGTGGCTCACTCCTGTGATCCCAGCACTTTGGGATTAGAGATCCTGTCTCTACTAAAAATACAAAAATTAGCCAGGAGTAGTGGCTCACGCCTATAATCTCAGCTACTTGGGAACCTGAGGCAGGAGAATCACTTGAACCTGGGAGGTAGAGGTTGCAGTGAACTGAGATCGAGCCACTGCACTCCAGCCTGGGTGACAGAATGAGATGTCCATCTCAAAAACAAACAAAAAAAAAACAGGCTGGGTACAGTGGCTCATGCCTGTAATTCCAGCACTTTGGGAGGCCAAGGCAGGCAGATGACCTAAGTTCAGGAGTTCGAGACCAGCCTGACCAACATGAAGAAATCCCATCTCTACTAAAAATACAAAATTAGCTTGAGTGTGGTGGGACATACCTATAATCCTAGTTACTCAGGAGGCTGAGGCAGGAGAATCGATTCAACCTGGGAGTCGGAGGATGTGGTGGGCCGAGATAGCGTCATTGCACTCCAGCCTGGGCAATGAGAGTGAAACCCCATCTCAAAAAAACAAAAACAAAAAACATTTTTCAAGTGAGAACTGGGAAAAACAATGGAACCGATGCAGGACTCAAATAGCCAGGCCCACCAGGCCAGCGCAGCTCTCCCCCACTGCCTGATGCTTCCTGAACCCTCCCTCCCCAACCCCATTTCTTCCAACGCCAGTTCCAAAGGTCTGGCTCTTGGATGCTACTCACCTTTGCCGGGAGCTGCTTCTGCCCATCTGGCCTGCCTTTGCCCCCTGGCTATGGGCCTCCAAGTGTGGGAGCTGCAATGCTGCCTGGCTTGTGCTGGAGAGGCTACTCCTGCCTGTGCCAGGGTCTCACCATTCCCTCAGCGAGCAGCGCTGGCCCACACTGGCTCTAGGAGGGCTGTGGGTATACCAGTCCCCACTCTCAGGAGGCCACAGTTCAGAAGCAGAGATGACATAAAGAACGTGGGCAGTGGGGTGCCCTGGGACCCAGTGGGTGCATGAAGGAGGGGGCTGCTGCTTTCTCCAGGGCAGGAAAGGCTGCTGTTGAGGAAGGGCTGGAGCATTTTCAGCAGGTGGACAGTTTACTCGCTGCTGGATGTGGGCCAGGAAGTGTAAACCCTGTCTTCGTATTTTTTTTTTTTTTTTTTTTTGGAGACAGAGTTTCGCTCTTGTTACCCAGGCTGGAGTGCAATGGCGCGATCTCGGCTCACCGCAACCTCCGCCTCCTGGGTTCAGGCAATTCTCCTGCCTCAGCCTCCTGAGTAGCTGGGATTACAGGCACGCACCACCATGCCCAGCTAATTTTTTGTATTTTTAGTAGAGACGGGGTTTCACCATGTTGACCAGGATGGTCTCGATCTCTTGACCTCGTGATCCACCCGCCTCGGCCTCCCCTGTCTTCGTATTTTTAGGGCCAACAACAGGTCTGGCTCGAGCTAGCACTCACTGGATGTATTAATGGAGGAGGAAGAAGCTGGAGAAAGAGGAAGGAGAAGGAACTTGGTCAGGACTAAGAGGCTTTTCTTTGATTCCATAGCCCTCAGTTTTGGCATGTGGGGTGGTGCCACAGCGTTTGGGAGGAGGCCAGCCCCGGTCCTGCCTGGTAGGTGACAGAAGGCAGCTGAGGGTTCTATGAAGGAAAGAGAAGAACACTTTTTAGAAACTGCTTACTGCATCCAAGGTAGCTGCATCCATGTGGCTTTATTTCTATCTAAAAGGTGAGGAAGCCAGATTCAGAAAGGCTAAGGTTGAGCCAGGGTCACTGGGACAGTGAGAGTTATAAGCACCTGCTGTACAGTGGACTTCGGAGGCAGCTGAGACAGCAGCCAGCAGGCATGCCTGAGCATGGGTGCCGGACCCAATGCCCACTGCACACCAGGCCATGGCAGAGGGGACCAAAGAGGAGGGGGCCTTGGGGCTGGGGAGGTGGGCCGGCCGTTCAGTCCCTGAGCTTTGCTGAGGACTCTCTCCAGCCTCCTCCTCTATTAACAGCCAGCCCCATGAGGTTCTGTGTATGATGCTCCCAGTGCGGAAGGCTCTCTGCTCCACACCCCTGATGGGCAGCTGGTAGCACTGTGCCCCGATGGGGTGTGTGGGTAAAGGGGAGGCACAGCTAAGGCCACAGGAACAGAGGAGCACTCAGAGCAAACCGTGGGAGCCTTCATCTTCTGGGGGCTGGGGAGAAGATGGAGAAGGAGGCTTTTACCACGAGCCCAGGCTCAGCAGACTGGAATCTGAGCTCTCTAGTCACAAGCTCCAGGACCTGGGACCAGCTAAGCAGCCTCTGAGCGTTCATTTCCTGCTGTAGGATGAGATGATTACACCTGTCTTGCACAGTAGAGGCTCAGTGGGGTAGTGGTTCTTTGTTCCAGGATCCACGACATCTGCCATAACAGCACCACCCTCCAGGACGTGACAGTGAGAGACCTGCTGCCCTCCTCTGCTATGATCAAAGACTTGAACCAAGAGTTTGGAATGCCCCTTTCCCAAGAAGAACTCACAGATGAGAAACTGTTCACCCTACCACCTCAGCCCGCCCCCAATCTTGAGGACTACAGTGGTCGGAACTCCACCCTCAGCTTAGAGATCCATGCCCACCAGGAGAAGTACCTGCAGTGGCGGAGTGCCATGCTGCTGAAGAACAAAGACAAAAAGCACAGCTTCCTCCAGGTGGGCAGCCCTCCTCTCTGACTCGGGGCTCCCAAACCCCACCTGGGCATTCCAGGCGCTTGCTGAGAGGCACAAGGCATATTCCTGAGTGGGGCATCTGCCTCTGGTCCATGCCTGTGCTCCTGGCCTTGGATTACCCAGCTGGATGGACAAGAAGTACGGAATGTGGGGCTGAGCCATGTCAGAAATCTTCACTCCCAGTCCTAGATAACCTTGGCCTTCCTGAAAGGTGAGAAGAAATGCTATTAGGTGTGTTACCTTTACCATGGCCCCAGAATTCATTGTAGAGAAAGAATTGTAGCACGTACGTGTGTGTGTGTGTGTGTGTGCGCGCGCGCGCGCGTGCATGCACGTGTGTAACATCTTGGTTAGGCTGCTCAGGACACAAGTGTCGTAAGACATCCAAGCAACATAGGATGCAAACTAATCTGCATGACAGAGGGAGAGAATGGGAGACTGAGAAGCTGGTGATGGGGTGGAAGGATGGTGCTATGTGGCCTGAATGGGCAAGAAGAATCTCCCTCACCCTCAACCAAAAAGACATGAAAACAAACATCTGCTGTGGTATGACTTGCAGTTGTCTGCCCATAGTCTGTGTGAAGGCCCTACCATCCCAATTCTCCAGTTTGAAAACAAAGTCTCCTAGAAGCTTGTAAGCTTTGTATGTGTACATTCTTTATGAAAACGAACAAACAGACTTTTTTTCTTTTCTTTTTTGCGTCGGGGTCTCACTCCATTGCCCAGGCTAGCGTACAGTGACTTGATCACAGATCACAGCAGCCTCCAACTCCGGGGCTCAAGCAGTCCTCCTGAGTATGCAGGCATGCGCCACCACACCTGGTTAATTTTTATTTTTTATTTTTTTGTAGAGATTGGGTCTTGCTTTGCTGCCCAAGCTGGTCTCCAGCTCCTAGGCTCAAGGGTTTCTCCTGCCTCAGCCTCCCAAAGTGTTGGGATTACAGGTGTGAGTCACTGTACCTGGCTGTTTTTTCCATTAGTGTTCAGCTTTTTAGCTTTTCCAAAAGACCCAGTTCTTGGATTTATCAATTCTGCTTTTTCTGTTTTTCTAATTCATTAACTTCAGCTTTTATTTTTATTATATTTTAAAGCTTACACCTTTCTCCCTTTTCCTATCTTCTCAAAATTGGCTATTTCGTTCACTTTAATTTCTCGTTTCATAAATATATATATTATAGCACCTTGGGAGGCCGAGGTGGGTAGGCTGCTTAAGCTTAGGAGTTTGAGACCAGCCTGGGCAACATGGTGAAATTGCCTCTACAAAAAATTAGCTGGGCATGGTGGCACGCACCTGTAGTCCCAGCTACTCAGGAGGCTGAGGCTTTAGCCTGTGAAGCACAGGTTGCGGTGAGCCGAGATCATGCCATGGCATTCCCTGGATGACAGAGTGAGACCCTGTCTCGATGTGGGCACAGTAGCTCATGGCTCTAATCCCAGCACTTTGGGAGGCTGAGGCAGGCAGATCCCTTGAGGTTCATAGTTTAAAAGCAGCCTGGCCAACATGGCAAAACTCCCATCTGTACAAAAAATACAAAAGTTAGCTGGGTGTGGTGGCATGCACCTGTAATCCCAGCTACTCAGGAGGCTGAAGCAGGAGAATCACTTGAACCCGGGAGGTGGAGGTTCCAGTGAGCCGAGATCGTGCCCCTGCACTCCAGCACTCAGAGTGACAGAGTGAGACCATATCTCAAAAAAAAAAAAAAGTCAATGTTGAGAGTATTTACAGTCTTCCTTATCCTACCTCACAATGAATTTAGATATGTACAAGAATATATATTCATTTCATGGGTTAATATAATTTTGTTAATACCACTTAACAAGGAAGCATTTTAAATTTATTTTTATTTTTGAGACAGTCTTGTTGTCAGGCTGGAGTGTAGTGGTGTGATCTTGGCTCACCGTAGTATCTGCCTCCCAGGCTCAAGAAGTTCTCCTGCCTCAGCCTTCCAAGCAGCTGAGATTACAGGCACACACCACCACGCCTGGCTAATTTTTGTATTTTTAGTAGATATGGAGTTTTGCCATGTTGCCCAGGCTGGTCTAGAACTCCTGACCTCAAGTAATCCACCTACCTCAGCCTCCCAAAGAGCTAGGATTACAGGTGTGAGCCACCACACCCAGCCGCAAGGAAGGGTTTTTTAAAGATTTTGCAATAATATGGACAATTTTATAATATCGTAGTATAAAATTTACTAGCCCCCATCTCTTGTAAATTTGCTGAAATCACTTGTAAATATTTTTTTATAAATCACATTCCTATTATCTTAGATATGGCTACTTTAAAATGGCTTTAAATTTCCTATGCATACTATAATAATTGAAACCCAACCACAATTTTTCACATTTTTATAACTTTATTGAGATATAATTTACATACCATAAAATTCATCCATTGTAAGTATATATAAATCAATAGTTTTTAGTAAATTTAGTTATAACACCATCATCACAATCCAGTTTTAGAACATTTCCATTCCCACAACAAGTATTATCATGCTAGTTTACACTCAATCTCTGCTCCATTCTTAGTCCCACATAACCACCAATATGCTTTCTGTCTCTGTAGATGTGTCTTGTCTAAATATTTCAGGTAAGTGGAACCATATAATTATGTAAGCTTTTGTGTCTGGCTTCTTTCACTGGGCATAAAGTTCCTGAGGTTCATCCATGTTCCTGAATAGATCAGCATCGTGTTCCTTTTTTATTGCTGAAGAGTATTCTATTGAATTGATATACCACATTTATTCATTCACCACTTTTTGGAATTACTGTTATTTCTTGCTTGGGGCTATGATAAATATTGTTCCTATGAATATTTGCATACAAATCATGTGAAAATATGTTTTCATTTCTCTTGGGTAGAACTTAGGAGTAGAATTGCTGGGTCATATTGGTAAGTTTATATTTATGATTTTAAGAAATTACATTGTGGGCCGGGCGCGGTGGCTCACGCCTGTAATCCCAGCACTTTGGGAGGCCGAGACGGTGGATCACAAGGTCAAGAGATCGAGACCATCCTGGTCAACACGGTGAAACCCCGTCTCTACTAAAAATACAAAAAATTAGCTGGGCATGGTGGTGCACGCCTGTAGTCCCAGCTACTCGGGAGGCTGAGGCAGGAGAATTGCTTGAACCCAGGAGACGGAGGTTGCGGTGAGCCAAGATCGCGCCATTGCACTCCAGCCTGGGTAACGAGCGAAACTCCATTTCAAAAAAAAAAAAAAAAAAAGAAAGAAATTACATTGTGGGCCAGGTGTGGTGGCTCATGCCTATAATCCCAGCACTTTGGGAGGCCGAGGCAGGTGGATCACCTGAGGTCAGGAGTTCAAGACCAGCCTAACCAACATGGTGAAATCCCATCTCTACAAAAAAGAAAAGAAATAAATTACTTTGTGGCCAGGCACAGTGGCTCACACCTGTAATCCCAGCACTTTGGGAGGCTGAGGTGGGCGGTTCACGAGGTTAGGAGTTTGAGACCATCCTGGCTAACACGGTGAAACCCCATCCCTGCTAAAAATACCAAAAAAAAATGAGCCAGGTGTGGTGGCACATGCTTGCAGTCCCAGCTGCTTGGGAGGTTGAGGCAGGAGAATAGCTTGAACCCGAGAGGCACAGATTGCAGTGAGCTGAGATCACACTATTGCACTCCAGCCTGGGCAATAGAGCGAGACTCCATCTCAAAAAAAAAAGTACATTGTAAGAAAAGCAGTTTTTACAGCGTAGTTGCACAATCTTACATCCCTACCAGCAATGCATGAGGGTTCCAGTTTCCCCACATTCATAAACACTTCTTGCCAGTCCTTTTGATTATAGCCATTCTAGTGTGTAATGGTATCTTATGATTTTAATTTGCATTGTATAATGACAGATTATGTTATATAGCTTTTAATGTGCTTATTAGGAATTCATAAAGCTTCTTTGGTGTAATATATATTTGTATCTTTTTGAATTAATTTCTTTTTTTAAATTGAGACAGGGTCTTACTGTGTTACCCAGGCTGGTCTTGAACTCCTTGGGCGCCAGCAACCCTCCCACCTTGGCTTCCTGAAGCGCTGGGATTACAGTCATGAGCCACCATGGCTGGCCCTCTGTGTGTATTATTTATCCATTTTAAAATCAAGTTGTCTTTTTATTGTTGAGTTGTTATATATTCTGGATACAAGTACTTAATGAGAAATATGATTTGCAAATATTTTCTCCATATATGTGGCTTGTCTTTTTTTTTCTTACTGGTGTAAGAAAAGGCTTTTGAAGTATAAAAGTTCTTAATTTTGATAAATTAACAATTTGTTCTTTCATCAATCATGCTTTTGGTGTTATAGCTAAGGACTCTGCCTAAAGTTCCACAGAGCATTTCATATCCTTTTTCTTACTCGTAGCTCTCACATTTAGATCTGCGAACCATTTTTTTGAAGTCCAGTGTAAGGGTCTAAATTAATCTTTTTGCATATGGATATCCAGTTGTCCTCACATCATTTCTTGCAAAGACTAGCTATTCCCCCATTGAACTGACTTAGCAGCTTTATTAAGAATGGACCATAAATGTAAGAGTTTGCATCTGTGTTCTAAACTATGTTCCATTAACTTACTTGCCTCTCCATGTGCCAGCACCACATTGTCTTTATGACTTATAGTTAATTGGGTTGTGTATGTCCTTTAACTTTGTTCTTTTTCAAAAGTGCTTTGACTACTTTGGGGCCTTTGCATTTCCTCATATATTTTATGATCAGCTTGCCAATTTCTGTAACAAATTCTGTAGGAATTTCATAGGGACTTTATTGAATCTATAGATCGATTTGGGAAAAACTGCCAACTTAACAATTTTGGGGTTGCCAATTTATGAACATGGAATGTCTCTGTTATTTAGGTCTTCAGTTTTCCTCGGCAATTTCTGTAGTTCTCAGTGTACAAGTCTTGCACTTCTTTTGTGAAATTAATGTTATGAATTGAATTACTTTTGTATTGTTTCCATAATATAGAAA